GGTTAAATCATTGTTGTAATCCCAGATAGCACGCGCAAAAGATGTGTCGTAACTCAAAATCGCTAGAATTACTGTTCAAAAAGCGATTAAGTTGACGAAGAAGCATTAAAAATACATCTCATATATATAAATTCATAGATAGATAAATAGATGAATAAATAATCTAAAACAATCTGTTATTATTCAACTTTCTGAACCAATTTTACGTGCCCAGTTTGGAATCAAACACTTTTTCGTACAGCCTAATAATATAGTGTAATAATCTAATTATATAATACGTACGTAAAAAGACTGTCATAAATTTAAAAGAATTGAATGTATAGAGCACATAAGCGATGACATTATTAGAGCACAATATGCTTAGTTATTAATTAATAATAAGTATGCAGATATGTATTTTATCGGTCAAGGTATATATTATAATACATTTTTGCGCTAATATATATATGTTTGTACATCTCTCTCTCATAGCTTCCAATGTTATTGTTTATTTATCGTATCAGGTACCATTTCCATACATCTACAAAAAATTGTATACATACTGGGTATTGTTTGTCTCAAATTCCTCTTGATGTCTAATATATCTCCTTCATCAGCGGAAACAACACACGCATCAGCATCGTCACAGTAAAAATCGAATATTCAGCTCTTATAAATTCTAAAACGAGATTTTGTGCTATTGCGGAGATAATAAAAGGAGCCATGAGAAAGGCAATAGTTATTGATCCACGTGCTGGTTCAGTTCATGTAACGACGGAATTGATCGGACATTTTAGTATCGATAGTGATTTGCAATATCGTGCTGATTTATCGCAACTAAAATATTATATTCCTCCTTTGGATCCTGACAATGTAAATTTCGATCTCAATATAAATTGTACGTCTGCCCGTGATAAACCTACTTCGTATATCAGATTCGAAAATATATTAAGGTGGATTTGGGATAATTTTCATCGAATTGAGAGGCCATTATCAGAACAAGAACAGGATGAAGAACGTTGGTACGTTGATAAATCGATTATATTATTTATTTATGTAGATATTATTTAAATATATAATGTTTTCTACAAAATTATATTTCAAAACTTTTACACTTTTATCACGACGAATTAGTACAAACCTTTATATAAAATATATTTGTGCCTTACTTTTATCTCTTTTCCTTAATATTATCAGGAATTACCCATTATAATGTTTCTATACAAATTGTAGTACTGGTCAGTGATTAATTTCACATGGAATATTCAGTTCAGTACTTGAGTATTAATATTAAAATACTGGCCAGTGATTTATTACACATGAAATCCTTGGTTCAGTACTTCAGTAACATTGAAATACTCATCAGTAATTCAACACAAGTATTTATTACACAAGTATTTATTACACAAGTATTTTTTACCTAGTATTAAATGCTTTCTCATCAGAAATTTAATACTAAGTATTCAATACTCGTCCTGTATTAAATACTACTTTCTTAAATTACTGACCAGTAATAAAATACTATGCAATACTTGGATCACAGTGATTCAAGTACTAATAAATATTTAATTTTAGTATTATTAATACACAAAATAAGTATTTATTACTAACCAGCTAGTAATACTTTTTTGTAAGGGTTCCATATGTAGATAGCATATATTTTATACACGTTATACACAAAAAAGTTATTTTTGCTATTTTAATTTATATTATCAATATATAAAATATACTAGTAATAATAACTCATAAAATATGTTAGTAATTATTTTTACATAATCAAAGATAATATTATAATTAGGTTGGATATCGATTTCATTTGTTCTCGTGGGATAATAAGAAAACTATTATGCGAGCCATATGCAAAGAGTGACGAATGGATTATTTGCGCTAGTAAATACCGTGGTACAATATATTTATGCGAATTTTGTCCAGATGCAAGAGAACGTGGTCAAGACAATGCAGTGGTAGAAAATCAAATTTCTTCAAGAATAAATAAATTTCAGCAATATATAGTAGCAGGTATTTCATATTAAATACGTATATGAAAATTTGATCATTTGTCACTTTCATTTTAGATATATATTTAGCAAGCAAAATAATGGATTGTTGAATATATATAATTAATTTATTTAAATTATACATATTTTTTTAGATCATCCGTTACATGAACCAGATTCATCAGTACCGCTTAATGAAAGCGAAGAATTTCACTGTATGTTTAAAGCGAACTTTGCCGGTATTTCGTTGTTATACGATGCAAAAATAGATGCTATTTCTTCACAACAGCTTATAACGAATACACTTATTGGCAAACCTTTTGAATCGATCGGATTGAAGATGTTTCAAATGCGTATTAGACACATGCGTAGCACACCTGGCATTATATCAAAGTGCTGGAGTACGAATTTCTTGGCGAATGCAAACAGAATTGTAGTTGGATTTAGGGACGCAACTAACACAGTGAAAGTGATAAAGGAGTATTCTATGGCTGATCTGTTAAGGCTCTCAAAGGTATAAATAAACAATTATATTAAAAAACTTGTATAACAAAGTTTAAGGAGTACGCGCGTAGTATTAATGCGAAATTATTGCAGCCTTACTGTGATGTGGAACTATGCAAAACATACTTGACTGTGGTGCTTAAGACAATCAAACAGTCCGTCACTAAAGATTATAATAAATGCATATATAAATTTCATCGGCAACCAGTCAAGGAGACGAACAAGGAGGTTCTTCCTCTAGAGTTGACTGAAGAAGCTCCCAATAACGAAATGTATCTCTTTTTAAAGCCGTGGTTTGTTGCTAAAGCAGAGGAATACAGGCGTACCCAGCAAAGATAGAAGTTTAGATAGATTTCATATGGAAAGAGATATTACACATATATATACAAGTGTAAGAGATCCCTACCGGAAATTTCTAACAAATGCGCGGTATAAAAGAAACTTGTCCGTTTACTATATGTACTTTTGAAATCGCGGTAATTCCTCACAAATAATGCGAACAA